GCAAAAGGAAAAAAAAAAAAAAGAAATTAGGGGAGGAAATTATTTTGGTGGTTTTAATTTAAAATTTTTTTTTTTTTTTTTTTTTTATTTTATTTTCCAGCATGGAGAGGGAAGCTGGTCAAAGGTGATGGGAAGATGGAAGGTGCTAAAAAACACAGGCCAAACTGTGGAAAACAAAAGTTTGAGGCAGCAAATGACTTGGGGTTTGTCAAAATAACCTCCATCCATCCATCCATTTTCTGAACACCCTTGTCCCTCAGTGGGGTCGGGAGGGGTGCTGGTGCCTATCTCCAGCTAACGTTCCGGGCGAGAGGCGGGGTACATCCTGGACAGGGCGCCAGTCTGTCGCAGGCCAAATAACCTTCAGAGGTCATACCATTACTTTCATGCCGAAGATTCTAGTTCAGCAGGAAAAACCATAACGTTTGAAGGAGTAGGGACTGCATGCTGGTATCTGAGCAGGGATAAAACATAAAACAATGCTGCACGTAAAAGAAACCGGTGTCCCATATGCAGGCTCTGTAGTGAAGGACTAATTTGCAGAACCAGCCTCTGATGAGGCTTTTATAAGTTAACCTATAAATACAAAGAACTTCCAGCAGTATAAGACTTCAATGAGGGTTTGTCTTATTTTCTTCCTCTATCTAATCAAGAAGAAGTCACAGTCAAAGGAAAATTGTAATGATGGAAAGTGTAAATTGTAGGAAGTAAACGAAAGATGATTTTTTTTATGTATAATTGTGGGGAATTAATCATTACAAATATCAAAAATGAATAATGATGAACAACGGTTATTCTTGAGGCAAGTCTGTGATTTAAATGATTATTCAATTAGAAATGTTTAAAATGTATTAATCAGTAAGATAAGGACAGGATGTGACTCATGTGGTCAAAAAGAAGAAGTCAACTGAGTCAGAGGGGAATGAGGGAGTGGATAGCAAGGTAAAGACAGGTTGTGTTAAGTTATATGTAGTTCATAAAGAAGAAGTTCAGCTGATGTCAGGGATAATGCACCTGAGAGCAGCAGGAAGGCAACAGCGAGATATTGCAATGATGTGCAGAACGGTTCTAGTGTGATGCAAAGGTGGGCAAACAGGAAGAAGGTTGCACAACCACAAAAGAAGAAGCTAACAACGGTTGAACTAAAGCAGAAACAAGGTTCCAGTAAAACAGGTGCATGCTTTACGGTCACAATTATTTGTGAAGGGGTTAGAGATTGCAAACAGCAAACACTGTCACGTATGCAACAAACCCCAACCTTTTGAATCATCTTGATTCAAAAGGTATTGAATTGAGATGAAGTAGCATTTACATAGCTTTCAGAGAAGAAAGAACCTCGGCCAGACTGGAGTTGTGAAGTTTTGAGAGGCGAACCTGTGGGCTTCTGAATCTGGACTGGTGCTCACACTGGGATAACTCTCTTTTGTTGGATCTAGGAACTTTACGGTTTCCTGTAGAGGACAAATTGAAGGATTTTTTTTTTTTTTTGTTGGATTGCTGGATTTACAACCAGCAGTTGCGGGACGCTGGATTTCTACGCATTTTCCAACCAATGTTTAGACGGGTGATCAAAGGACGGGACGAATCCCTGTCTCTGGCTCGGATTAAATTTAATACATCCAAAGTTAAGTGAGCCCCGGTTTTAGGAAAAAAAATGCTTAAAGTAAGTCTGGACTCTTTAAATGGAGAGCTGGTTTGGACTGTGCAGTGAGGTAAGCTCACGGAAAGGCTGTGATGGAGATTCAGTCTGTTTATATAGAAATGTGACACGATGTGGAAATCTTCAAAGTGTGTAACACTGATATAGTAGCTTTAAATATACGGTAATAAAAAATAATCATTTTAGAATATTTAGGAGGTGTATAAAGCAAGCTTTAAAATGTTATTAATACTTAATTAAGAAACCCTAATTACATGGATTTAAAGAGAAAAAAGTCTTGGTTTACCCTTGACGAGTGAGTTAAAAAAAAAAAAGGAACAGATCACATTTTCATGAACAGAAGGGAATTAAACAAGCAAATGGCAACTAAATACCAGAAGCCCCCCTTAACTCCCTTATCATCTCCAGTTTATCCAAACCCCAACTCGCAGACGTCATGTCAGTGATGTGTGCAATAGTTGTCTGAAACATTGCCGAGCTATTATAAAGACAATGCATTTACTCTGTGCATGTGCACAGAGTATTTTGACCACTTTGCACATGCTTATGTGATTGAGATGCTACAGTTTGCTGAAAAAATGGCAGAGTGAGAGGGTTAATCACAACAACTGTCATAGAAAAATAACCAGCAATATTATGTTCGAGTGCACTGAAAAATCTCACGAGACAGGTAATCATTTGCAAAATGACTAAGCAATTATCATTTGAAGAATAACTAAACTAGACCCTTTGGCGGGAACAATAAAGATTTAACTGCCCACCAAGTCGCCCCAATATCTCATGTAGTAGTTTTTTTTTCTTTGGAAATGAGGTCATCATCAAAGCTTTTCCCAGGAACAGAAATTTTGACCAAACTTTTCTGTTTTGCTGCAGCGGCGCCTTCGGGTCAGTTTCCATCTGGACGCCGACCAGCAGCTGCAATTATTCAGCCCGCTTTTTTGAATCTGTATCTCGTCTCTGGAGACTCGTCATCTGTCAACAAGCCGTGTGCACACCCTCACAAACACACGTCTGTGCACGCGCGTGCGCGTGCATTTCTAGTTTTCTTAAAATACAACACTCAGTGACCTTCTACACCAGCTGTCCTCATTCTGAGAAGCTATCGAGGGAAGCAGGGAAGGCCTCCGAAGAGCCATATTAATTCTTTGCTTTGAGCGGCGACATGTCGCCTGCTGTAGCAACAGTAAAAAAAAAAAAAAAAAGTTGTTATAGTTAAACTGTGTTAACTATGCTTTGTCTCAGGCAAATCAGCTCACATTCAGTCTTAAAGGTCTTTAGAGACATAAATGAAAATGTTTAGGCTGAGAATTATCCAATGAGATGTATAAAGGCGTGAGCTCTCTGACCTGGAGACGAACTAAGAAACCTAAACAGAGTCCAATTAAGCTGAACACATGTCCAAGTGAACAGACGTGGTCACAACCTTGTCAACGTTACAGGCTTTTTAAAGAAAGAAAGAAAGAAAAAAAAAGGACACTTTGGGACGGTTGCAATTAGGAGATGTGTGAGAGACCAGCACAGGCAGAGAGCACCATCTTTTCATTTATATCGTCCTCCTGTAGTGGTGATTACTCAGAGGTTGCAATAAAAACAAGTTGGATTCTCCTTTTTAAACTCTTGTCTCTTGCCTTGTGTATGTGTGTGTGAGACACTGACCTTTCCTGACACTTTTCAGATATTTTATCTGCAGCTCTGCAGGCGTTTTTCTTAGGTCCTGCTCTTCAGGTCCAAGAATGTCAAAAACACTCTGCCACGTAGGTGCAATAATGAGCGTTTCCCCTAAAAGGTTTCCTTCCAAAGGGAGGCTCAGCTATAAAAATCTGCTGCTCGGTATTTCAATGTTTTTACTTCAGATTTTAAACGTATGACGTTTTCATCTCTACTTACTCAACTTATTTTTAAATGTTTTAATATATTTTAACATGTTGCATGCCTGCAATCCTAAATAATATTCTGGTAAAACTCCTAACACCTAGTTAATGACACATTTATTTACAACTTCAGTAATTCAAGCTGCTCTTGATTACAGGGTTTATGAAGGTGGATTGTGAAATAATTTCTCCTCCCTGACGATGTCCAGGTCTTTGGGGTATTCCAGGCATCTGATTTTTAATTCCTTGCTAAGAGTCTGGCAGAGATTCCAGCTTAAGTTCAAAATACTTTCTGTTATTCGTTTTGCCGCATGTTTTTTATCACTGTTTGATTATAGTAAGCCAGTGCTGCAAAGTGTCTCCTTGAGACAGCTCATCCAGAATCATAATATATTCCTTTTTTTCCTCATCACAACAATAACTCGGGTGCCTGGATTATTGGCTGACAAAAAAACAAAACCATAAGTTGAAGGTTGCAAGCTGAACACAGGTTTAACTGTAATTTCTTTCCAACCTTAAACCTTCATCTTATTGAACCATCAACAAAAGATTTCCTGATTGCACATGAAATGTTTTACTGAATCTACTGCCCTGTTTTTTGCCACACCCATAGGATCAAATAATGTGGAACGTCTGCTACAGTGTCTGCCTTTATGAAGGCCGATCCATCGCAGCGGCCTTGACGATGTACCTCAAAGCTTAAACGGCTGGGAGTTCACGAGATTTCTTTTTAATTTTTATTGAGAATAATTATATATTACAGCAGGAAGAGAGGATGTTGACACACAGTGTCTTTCAAAAGTACTCATCTGCCCTAAACCTTTTTCACAATTTGACAACTCGCAACAACAAACTTCAGTGTATTTCAAAGGAATTTTATGTGACAGACCAAAACAAAATAGGACATTATGAAGTAGATGAAATATTGTGATTCTCAAGATGTTTTATAAGCCAAAAATGTAAAAGAATGACATTCATATTTAGAACTTTTCCAACAAGGTTTCTGGTTGTACTGCGATGAAATGTGAAACAGTTTCAGGTAGATTAGCATTTTTTTTGCAGACACTGTGTAGAAGTGAACTGAAGAAGTAAAAGCAGAGTCAAAAAAACTAAGTATTGCTAAAATGAATGTATAACACTCATTTTTTTACATCTTACAGACATAATAGGTTTATTATATGATGGTTCATCAATTGCAGTGTTTCACAGTATTTGTTGTGTTTAAAGTTAAGAAAAAGCCTGAGCTGTCTTGTTTGACTGGCAGGTCAAAATATCTATCAACACTTTTTGTGATTTTTTTTTTTTTTTGCTGCTTCGAGTCCGTCTGCCATCCATTTTCTTTCTATTTACCGCTTCATCCTCACAGGCGAGGATTGTTAAGTGCTCTTATCTTTTCATCACCCTCTCTCTGCTGGTGCATTGAGAGCAAAAACCGTCTCTATGAGCTGGTGGCAGAATTCTCAGAACCAAACTGTGTTTTGGGGGACGGATTTCAGCAGGAGTTCAGCGGCGGCTGTTTCTTAGATGGAGCGCAGCCCAGGAGAGTGTCATTAGCACATGTGGGCATACATAATGAACACTCGTGCACGGATCTAAAATAGCAGCTAGCATAATAGAGCAGAGGAGCAACCAAGCGTGCAACATGCACGCGCGCTCGCACACGCACAATGGATTTCACCTCGCCGCCTCTGGTTTGTACTCGGTGTTCCCTGTGGCTAGTCGGTGTGCGCGAGTGCAGCACAAGTGCATTATTGATGCAATTGCACACTGGGGAGCGCTGATGCAGATCAAAGTCTGTGATGAGGGAACATGGTGGCTACCTCTACAGCATCCAGTGAAGGAGATGCGGGAGAAGGTCATATACCTGCTCAGTAGGGGTTCCACTTGAGACCCCTGCCCCTCGTCCGCTCCAACCTGTTTGAGCTCCTTCTGCTCCTCCTCGTACTTCGGGTTTTCTCTACTACCAGTAACCGTCCGGAAATTGTGTCACAAGGACTCGGCTCCAAATTAACAGATTGCAGAGAATCATGAAGGAGAGAGGAGAATGTGAGAGGTGGTGGTGGTGGGGGGGGGGAGATCAGAGTTTCCATGACGACAGCACAGGACTCCTGCTTGACGAATGAGGCGGTGTGTGTGCACCTATATGAGTGTTGATTTGAGGCTTTCTCAGCAGGGAGACACCATGTTTGCCTTTTTACTGTTACGACAAAAACACAGGTGAACCCACTGCAACGCCACGTGGATTCAGACAACACACACAGCAGGATGTGAGACCCAGTGGCGTGTCACTGCTACGTTTTACACCTTTGTCAAAAATCTATAAAGATATGTAAGGAAACTATTTACAAATAACTTCCTCTAGTGAATTCACAGTTTTGTTTTTTCTTAAGATTCTAGCATGTATTTTTCAGTAAAGATCCATGTTTAGATTGGATTTCCACCTCGTCTGAAAAAACTGACTTACTAGGTAATCCAACCTTTAAAATTTGGCCTGAAATGAGGCTTCAGGAGAACAACACACCCTGACATATGGTCTTCAGGTACAGCTTGCATCATCATGCTGTGCTCTGTTGATTCCTACGGGGTGTTTTGATTGGCTTATTAACAGGACCAGAGATCACATCCTGTGAGTGACAACCGGCCGTGCCATCTCTCTTTCTCTCGAGCTCAGCTTATCGAAAGAGTCTTAAAAGTAGAAGCTGTTGGAAGTGATAAGCTTTTTCAAGATCAACGGTGCTTTGCAAAAGTATTCCTACCTATTAAACTGTAACATATTGTCTTTTGGGGGTGTTTTTCTACCAGAAAGCGAAGTGGTTGTCTATCACTATTTGAAAGATAGTTCTACCTCAGTCGGACTGAATGGAGATTATTGGTAGACATCAATTTGTTTTGTCACAGAATCTCAACTGGATTTAGTACTAGAATTTGACTGGCCCAGTCATTTGTGAAATGGCCCATTTAGAGAATTTAAACGTGGCATGTTTGTTGGTCGCAGATTGGCTATGTTGAGTATTTTTAGAAACTGATCTACTGGGATTTTTATGCACAATAATCACTCAGGTTAAAAGAGAATGGGCCAAAAAAAGGAGAAGATATTGAATAAGCAGCAGCAGCAGCAGCTGTGTGGACAAAAGTGTCCTGCTGAAACCAGAGGATAACGGGGCAGAGTGATTTGACATGGTAGAAAGGTAACAGCTGCTCGAATAACCACTTTGTTACAACCAAGGAATGCGGAGTACAATCTCTGAATGGACCGCATGTTGAACCTTGAAACAGAGGAGCTGCAGCAACAGAAAATTACACCTGAAGCCAATCCTGTCGGCTGAGATGAGGAAACTGGGACAGTTCACACAAGCTGAGCAAAAACAACGCTGCCTGTCCCAATATACAGATGGTATGTTGATAAACTCCACAAAATAAAATGAATTTGTGGATCCACTCAGCTTTGTATCAGTGATTCAGGATGGGGTGGTGTAATGGTGTAAGGAATATTGTTTTGGGACAATCTTGGCCTTTTATTGAGAATTGTGTAAATGTCACAACCACTTGAGCAACTGTACAGCAAGGTAATGCAACAGATAACAGAGTTTTAAACATTTCAAACTATTTTCTTGAACCAAATCTCACATAGCACAAACTTTTGCATGTGGTGAACTGGGAGATTCTCGTCATAGATGCGCATCTGACAAATCTGCACCAACAGTGTGATGTCATCATGAAATTTCCAAGCTGTGTTTCTGAAACATAACTTGGAAATATCTATTTTATAAAGAGTTAAGGCAGTTCTACAGGTAAAAAAAAGGAAAGAAAAAAAAAGGCCTGCGAGTGTGTATCACATGTTTCTGAATGCTAGTTTGTGCACACACAGACTATGCAGCAAAGGGTGGTGCCAGACTCAGCTTCCACCAGAAGTCCATTAGTGGTCGCTATGAGTTCAGAGAAGAAAATGGGTCAGAACTTTATGTTAAACAGAGTTCATCTGTTATGCTATTTAGAAAAACTAATACATGACAGAACATTTTAAATCAGTGCAGCAGCTTAAATCATAAAATTTACTATTTGCTAAAACTCCCAAAAATCTACATCACGGCTAAAAGAAATAAACAACAAGCATATGAACAACCGGTAATAAAACAAATTGGGAAATTAGGTCAGGCAAAAAAGGAGCATAATGTGAGTGACGGTGGCAAAATGCAAAATATATTAATAAGTGCTGTAAG